TATAGACATTTTTACTATGTTGATTCTACCAATCCATGAGCATGGGAGATCTCTCCACTTTCTATAGTCTTCCTCAATCTCTTTCTTCAGAAGTTGTGATGGGTATCTTAAAGACAGGGTCTCATGAACCATTTACCCAGGGTGGCTTCCAACCACAGTGCTTCTGATCTTTGCCTCCTGAATAGGCAGGATTACAGATGTGAGCCAGCAAGTCCAGGTTTTATATGAAATCTTCAAGTTAGAAAAATTTGGCTCAAAAATTTAAAAAATACTTCATGACCTGGTGTGGTAGCATGAGCCTATAGTCCCAGCTACATAGGAGGTTGAGGTAGGAAGACTGTTTGGGCCCATGAGTTCAAGGCCAACCTAAACAACATAGCAAGATCCCTTTTCAAAAATAAAAATAAAGGCTGGGGTTTGGGTACCAATGGCTAACACTTGTAATCCCAGCTATTTGGGAGGCTGAAATCCGGAGGATTGTGGTTTGAGGCCAGCTCAGGCAAACAGATCAAGAGACTCCATCTCTACGATAACCAGAACAAAATGGACTGGAGTCATGGCTCAAGTGGTAGTATGCCTGCTTTGCAAGGGTGAAGCTCTGAGTTCAAACCCCAGTCCCTCCAAAAAAATGAAATAAAAAAAACAACAAAATAAAGCCAGCATGGTCACACGTGCCTATAATCCCAGCACACCAAAGGCTAAGGCAGGAAGATTGTACATTTGAGGCCAGCCTGGGCTATACAGCAAAACTCTATCTCAAAGCAACAGAAAACATAAATAAAAATAAAAATGTTTTGTGTCACTAGTTCAAATTAAACCTCAGACTATAAGTTTATAATTGTTTGCCTACTTCATGGTATTCAAAACTTATCAGGTATTAACCTCGATTTCTTGTCATATGCCTTCTTCTAATTACAGGTAGAAATCATATGCCATTCTACTCAGAGGGGGCCACTGAACCATGCAGGGTGGGGACAGGTCCTCCCCAACCAGGCACTTACTTCTGACTGGCCTCCATCTCCAGCAATGCAGACAGAGCTGAGGTTCCCTTCTTCCCTACTGGGGGGCCTGTAGACTCAAGGGAGTGTGTAGAAATGGGTCCAGTCATCTGCAAGCCTTTCATGGCCGTCCCTTTCTAAAGAGAAGAGGAGACAGGTGCGTGAAGTCCATTTGGATTCTCTCAGTGGACCACTCCTATCACCACGCAGGCATCTGCATGTCCTGGGAATCCAATTAACACAGTAGAAGAACACAGGTTCTCAGTGTTCAGTAAATGTCAGAAGAAGAAACTGAGGCTTGGAGAGATTAAGCAATTTACTCCACATTCCACTGGAACAGGAATTCAAGCTCCAGTTGTCTCTCTTCAAATTCAAAGCTCTTTCCTCTACACAACTATGGCTATGGCTTAGTGGGAGAACGCTTGCCTAGCTTGGTGCACACCTGTGTTTGATCCCCAGTACCACCCCCCCACACACACACATACACACACATGCGTGCACACACACACACATATAAATTCATGCACGGGCAGCTGGCATGGAAGAAAGAATAGTGAGCTTGAGGTTAGAAACAAGACAGATGAAGGAACAGTAGTAGGTAATTAAAAAGAATGAACTACTGATACAACTAGTATGAATTCCAAAGCATGATGCTAAGTGAAAGATGGCAGCCTCAAAAGGTTTCATTTTACATGATTGCATTTTTGTGACATTAAAACATGAAAGTATTGTGACAGTTAAAAGGCCAGTGGTTGCCAGGGGACAGAGATGGGGTAGCATGATGGAAACTTCCCCTCCCCCCTGCTTTTTCTTCCTGCTGGGGATGAAACCCAGGGCCTCTCAAATGCTAGGTAAGTGCTCTGACTCTAAGCTACACTCCATGACGGAGCTCTTTTGAAGAAAAGCTGTTCTGTATCTTGATTGTGGTGGTGGTTACATGAATCACTTTTGTTAAAATTTATAAACCTGTATGTAGGCAAGCGTATACACGATATATTAATTTATAGCAAAACGCATGCTGAATCCTAGATCTGCCCTTACTGAGTAGGTGGTCTCAGACATACCCCATGGCTCTCATGAGTCTCAGTTTCCCCACTGGGTAATGGTGTGTGATGGAAATCAAAGATCAAGGGTTCTGGAAACTCTAAAAGTGATGTGAGAGAAGGAATGATTACTGCTGTTAACTTCCTGTGAGTTTCTACTCAGCGATCCACCACCACACCACACAACAGCTGTGCTTGCACTGGGTCCCACTTAGAGAGCACATAAGGCGCTGTGTCTCAGCTCAGAGGGGGATTCAAGCAACAGGACGCTGCCCAGTCACTGTCTGCACCTATCCCATCCTCCTTCTCCCTGCATTGGAAGATAATACAGTGCTTAGGGTTGAAGATAAATTTTGGGTAGTTGTGAAGTAAATGAACTGACTGGCAAGAGCCTCCAATAGAGGAGAAGGCAGATCCTGCAGCCCAGGGCAGGTGTCGTCACGAGGACCCCCAGGAGTCCTCACCCGCATCATGCGGTCTGAGCGGTGCCGCCTGCGGATCCGGTTCAAGCCCTCCACAAAGCGGATGAAGCCATCCAGTAGCTGCCACTCATCCTCGTCTGCACGGGGCCTGTCCCCATAGATGTCGCAATGGGCCTCTCCCTCTGTGATGCGTTTGGTGGCAGTGACACAGGCTGGCAGTAGCAGGAAGCGGGTCCTCCAGAACTTCAAAGACTCAATTAAACTACACAGGCCAAGAAAAACACAAGGTAGTGGTGAGAAAAGCCCTCCCAGAGAACTCTCTCTGGAACTGGTGTGTGAGGGTCCATCTCCCCAGAGGTGTGTGTTCATCTGATGCTGTTGTCCATAGCTTTGTTTAAGACAACCAGATCAGAAGGAAGACTATGAAGGCTGCCTTTTGCTTTCATCTCAGACATGTCATGCACCAAGACCCAGGAAAGATGTGGCTTTGCATTATCAGAATCGTAAATAATACAGGAAAATCAAAAATTAAAAAGGAGACACCACAAAGCTACCAGCTAGGTAGTCAAGAAAATATTAAGAACATGGTTTGCCCTGACACTTGCACCAAAGGGCACATCATCAGTGAGTTGTTTTGTTTTTCACTTGTAGCAAAATATACACAACATATGTACCATTAACGGATTTTAAATGCCCATAGGTGGGTGGTATTAAGTATATACATTCACAATAAATTGTTACCACTACCCATCTCATCATTACTGTAAGCCCCGGCAGAGGTGCTTTTATTCTTCCATTTTTTCCGGAAGACAAAACAGACATTATTTTGTCATCAGAAAAAAAGGACGGAAGTGTTCAACTATGCATCCACCTGAGACAGCAAGGATGGAAAGCCTGTGCCCATTCTCTGACCTGAAATCTTCAGAGCCAGCAGAACAAATGTACTGGTCTAAGTAATTCCACTTGTACTCCTCCAGCCGCTCATGGGAGAATTCCACCCAACAGGAGACGAACTCTGAGTCTGAGTGGGACGGGCAGAGGCTGTAGGTGTAGTGAACCTGGGCAGATTCATACGGATACCTGAAAAATACAGGGCATGCCTAGACGTTCAAAAGACAAATCCCCGCTCCCCTATTCTTCTCCGACTTGATACACTGAGCACTAACTATCCTTGGCATTCAGTCCTCTACTATGGTAATGAACTCATCCCAGGGGACTGTAGTGGAACTTTCCCAGGTCTTCTTAAACCTTTTCATTCTCTCTCCCCACATCTTTTATTTTTAATTGGCTTGGTAATAAGCTGAATCAACCCCCTTTTGGAAATAGGTAAGTTATAACCCTAGGGTTATTTTAAAGCAAAACAAAAATTCCAAAGGAAAAAACAAGCACTCAACTTCCTATATGCATAATTGTACTATGCAACGTACTTTAGTATTCAGACATAATTCAAGACAGGAGCTGAAGACCATAAGTATCCAAGGACTCACTTGGGAAGGTATCGTGTGACCGTGATCATTTTGTCTTTCAGCGTCACTTTGTGAAAAGTTCTGCCCATACTCAGCCAATATTGGTCTTCCTCCTCGGGGCGGTTTCGGGACACGAGACCTAATAGAAAATAGGAAGAACTTCCTTCATCTGGTTGAAGCTCGCTCTTACAACAGGCAATTGCTTCTCATCCATATGGATGCAGAACAGGAGAAACACAAGAGGCAATGCTTTCTTTTGATGGTCAGTTTCACAGAAGAGTTACTCTTGGTTCAAAAATAAAATAAAAGTCCCAAAGTTGACATATTTTTCTGTTCCTAAACTGAGTAGCAGATTAGAACCTGAGGATGCTGGGAGAACCTAGATGTCACACACCATGCTGAAGAGTCCATGCCTCATCCTCCAAGGAGGAAAGTTCTGGAGTAAACGTTAACAGGCTCAGATCTAAAATGGAACTTCACTCCACTGAAGTGCATCTGAGGACCTCACCCCAGGGTGGCAACCAACCCAGCTTTTTGGCCTTCGTTCCCACACTGCTATCTGAAGCGTCAGTCTTCAAAGACCATTATTTATTTGCTGCAATTTCCCTCCTCTAAACATCTGCTCGTGTTGCCTCTCCATCTCCTCTTCTGGGCTGCCATCAAAAAAAAAAAAAAAAATCCTACGGATTACTTAAAGTCACCATCAAATTCTACTTCCTCCAGAAAGCTGTCAGACTCCATCAGCAGCCTGAATGATACCTTGTATGTAGCTCCTTAGGTGTGTGTCTCTTACACTCTTTGGCTTTCTTTTGTTGTTCTTTCGGTCCCTCTCTTCTTACAAACTGAAAGTTTCAAGGAGCCATGTGCAGCAGTACACACCTGGTGTTCCAGCTACTTAGGAATCTAAAGCAGGAGGATCACTTAAGCCTACGGGGCCAGAGGCAAAGCCAGCCTGGGCAACACAGTGAGACCCTGCCTCAAAATAAAGTTAAAATTTAAAAATAGTAGTTTAAAACTAGAGGCCAGGGCCAAATGTTGTTTACCTTCATATTTTCCAGGAGCACCTGATAAAGTGCCATGCCCAGAGAAGGTTTTCAAAAAGTATTAGTTGTCAGGGCTGGCAGAGTGGCTCAAGTGGTAGAGTGCCTGCCTAGCAAGTGTAAGGCCCTGAGTTCAAACTGCAGTACCACCAAAAAAATATATACATATATTAGTTGAATTGAATTGCACATAGCATCAAGGAGTCGATGAGAGTCAGGCACAGGTGGCTCACGCTTGTAATTCCAGCTACTTGGAAGGCTGAAATTGGGAGGATTGCAGTTTGTGGCCAGCCTGAGCAAATAGTCCATGAGACCATCATCTCCAAAATAGCAAAAGAAAAAGGGACTAGAGGTGTGGCTTAGGTGGTACAGAGCCTGCTTTGCAAGTGTGAAGCCCTGAGTTCAAACCTCAGTCCTATCAAAAAAGAAAAAAAAAGAGGAAAAGAAAACAATGAAAAGCGTTCAAGAGAGGAAGAACTGTAACTTAAAGAACAAGGCAAGAGCCTCATGGTATAGAAATGAGATGCAGTGTTCTCACTTGGCTCAGACGGTCACACAGTGGCAGGTCACCCAGGAAGGGTCAGGAGAAGAGAGGATGGCAGAGAATGCCAAGCTGCCCGGATGAGGTGGCGGGAGTGGCAGGCTAGCTGCATGTAAGAAAGAGGCTAGGCTTCGACTCAGAGGACCCGGGGTTAAACCTCGACTCCCTTACTTGCCAGCTGTGTGACCTTAAGGGACAAATCTTCCCATGTCTCATTTTTTGCAGCTAGAAAGAGGGCATGCCCCATGCCCCACAAAGCATACCTTCATTCATGCTACAAACACCCTGCTGGCTGTCAGGACGACAGTGTCAGAGGTAAGGCTTGTAAGCATCTAGCACAGTACCCTGACACAGCGTTGTGAATTAGGTACACTCTGGTTATTCCTGTTTTTACTCTACACAGCACTCTTCTGTAATCAACTGTATACTCACAGTTTATAAGATTAAAGTCTGCCTCCCCCAGTAGACTGTAAATTCCAAGGGCAGAGCCAGTGCTGCTCTGTTCCCTACTGAAAGAGGGCCTAGCTCACATATGGTAATCAATGTATCTGCAACAAGTGAGAAGCACAGACCTGGTTATGATGGCAACTTTCCCAGTAATTAACAATAACAGCGGTACCACACTTTCATTACTACAAAGAAAGGTTAAATTTATCAAAGGAGAAAATAACCAGAAAAGGTACAGTCAGGTGGCCAATAAGTCATGACACAGGACTCATGAATCAGCCACCCAACCCTGGACACTGGAGGACTGGTGAGGGACACCAGTTAGCTAGCCCAGACGGCAAGTGGACAGCCTGGATGGAGCCAGTGACACTTAAAAGTGAATTCATTCCACTGCTCTTGGGTTAAAGAACAAAATCCTTCCCATAGTCCTACGAGGCCCAGGTCCCCTGACACCTAGATGTACCGCTAACTCACTCCCTGTGTTTCATCACACTAGCTTTTGTTTTGGTGCCAGAAAGTGTGAAAATGCCTCTGCACATGGTGATCCTCTGCAGGGCATACTCTTCCCATGAACTCACACCTTTCTTTCTTTTCTTTTTGTTGGCACTGGGGTTTGAACTCAGGGCCTCCTGCTTATTAGGCAGGCACTCTACTACTTGAACCACTCCACCAGCTGTATTTTGAGTAGGGTATTTTGTGTGTGTGTGTGTGTGTGTGTGTGTGTGTGGTAATGGGATTTGAACTCAGGACCTACACCTTGAGCCACTCCACCAGCCCTTTTATTATGATGGGTTTTCTTGAGATAGGGTCTCACGAACTATTTGCCTGGGCTGGCTTCAAACCCAAATCCTCCTGATCTCTGCCTCCTGAGTAGCTAGGATTACAGGCGTGAGCCACTGGTACCCAGCACTCCCAACTTCCTTCTCCTAATAACCCCTGTACATACTTCAGGTCTGAGCTCAAACATCGCCTTCTAAAGGAAGCTGCCCCTGACTCTCAGACCAGATCCGGCCCCAAATCAGTCTCATGGACCCTTAACATCTCCCTTGAAATCTTTAGCACAACATGTAATTTTTTTCATACTTGGCCATTTCCCCATTGAGCTAACCTCCCGCCCTCACAGTGAGAGCTTCAAAGACAATGCTGAATGAATGAATGAATGGACAAGTGAGTTCATGTACTTTCTGATCAAAATGTTGTACTCTCAGCAATGTACATTACAGAGGATAAAAACAGTGAATCTAAAAGAGTCTTGGCATCAAAACAAGGAGGATCTGGGATTTGAATAGAAGGTAACATGCAATAAATGTCATAAGGAGTTTTCAAAGAATATCCGGGGGTAACCCAAAGCTTCATGTGTGAACAATAAGGCCTGGACCAGATGGCGACTAATTGTTTCTCCTCACAGGTCCTCACCTCTCTGATCCTCTGAATCTTTTTTTTTTTTTTTTTTT